ATTGTTTTTCCAAAGTATCTGCAGTTGGAAAAAGTAACTGTTGATTTTATTAATAGCAATTCATATGACAAGAATACATTCAGGAGCTCAGGAACCAGAAATATCTTTTCAGAGCAAAAGATCATCGCTGTCACAGAAGCACCCAGGATATTGGGCACTTGACAACTTCAGTTCTGTAATGAAAAGTTACCATTACAGTAAGTCTTAGGCTCACACCCAAAGAGCCCCCAGTTTTTGTTAAGCAACATTCAACTCTGCTTGTAACACTGCGTGTTATTAGCCACAGAATTTGTCTATACTCATGGACTCTCTATCCTGACCTCTCACACATCGACTAAGCCCAATCCAATCTGCTTTTTCGCCTCCGTCACTCTACCGAAGCAGCCTTACTAAGGTTAACAAACTGCCAATACAATTGCTATTTTTCTGTCCATGTCTATTTTTCTGTCCATGTCTATCTTGACTTCTCGGCAATATTATCAGTTGTCTACCCTCGCTCCCATTACATCATCATCCTCGCTTTCCTTCTCCTCTTCTCTTCCTTTTCAATTTCCTTTGCAGAATTAGCTTCCTCTCAGTATTTGCTGAACCTTCCTCAAGGTTCAGTAGACTTTTTGCTAGATACCAAATTCATCCTGGTCTATGTTTTCATCCTTATTGGGTATACACCATTAACTCTCCAAGATTTATCTCCACTCCAAGTCAAATACTTCCTAACTCCTAGATCTGTTTATCCGATTATTTAGTTCACATCTTTTATCGATGCCTGGAAGTCCAGACGGCTGTGTATGAACTCATCACCTTCCTCCGTCCTTGTGTTCCCTAAGAGGATGGCACCATTCTCTACCGAGCTGTGCAAATCAGACACATGGGTTATTGACTCACCCTCTCCTGTGCCCTTCATTTCAGTTCATCTCAAGTCCAGTGGATTCCGTCGATTAAATTCTCTTTAATGTATCTAATTCTATCCTCTCGCCACCACCCTTCCAAGCAATCACTTCTTACTATGGTCATCACCCAACTGGTTTCCTGGCATCCCTCTGGTTCTCCTTCTTTTGCTTCAAAACAATGGGGCTGCTGGGACCGGTTTGGCTCAATGGATAGAGCATCGGCTTGGGGACTGAAGGGCCCCGGGCTCGACTCCGGTCAAGAGCACGTACCTTGGTTGTCAAGAGCACGTACCTTGGTTGCAGGCACATCCCCAGTAGGGGGTGTGCAAGAGGCAGCTGATCGATGACTCTCTCTCATTGATGTTTCTAACTCTCTTATCTCTCTCCCTTCCTTTCTGTACAAAAATCAGTAAAATATATTTAAAAAACAAACAAACAAAAAAACCAATGGGGCTGCCTGTGCCGTCCATCAGAACACCCCTCCACTGAAGAACACACCCGCTTGCTCTTCTTCGATTTCTCCCATAGCCTACAAGATGTTCTGTGGTTTCAGGCCGGCCTGCATTCCAGGCTCATGTCACACTCTCTCTCCCCCTTCCCCATAAGCCATCCTTTCTGCAGTTCTTTACACTCGTAATTCCTCCAACCAATAGGCCTTTTTCTGTGCTGTGCCCTTTGCTTAGCTAACTTCTATGCTTTCATCGGATTTCAGCTCAACCATCCTTTCTCCATAGATGCCTTCACTGACGCCAATCGTGGGCCAAATTATTTGGTTATCTGCTCCAGAAAACCATGTTCTCGTCAGCATAATAAACTCTTTGTTTTTACTTAATTAATGTCTATCTTTTCTGCTAGACAGATGTCTCTTGGGGACATAGGGCTGTATTTGCACATTGTCTGGCGCAGTACCTGGCACATAGCACACCTTCAGTAAAACCTTGTTGAGCGAATGAAATTACTGTGTTCCTAATGTTAGAAAGTATAATCCAGTACAAGTTTGGAAACAGAAACGCAAAACAGAATGTTTAGTAAATCTGATTTCCATTCTTTTAATCAGACTTTCACCTTTGGCCATTCTGCATATTCACTCGCTCAACAACTACTGGTAGAGCCAATGTGGAGTGCTTGATTAATGCTATTGTTCATAAATAAATAAATAAATAAATGATGACTAATAAGCGTGGCAGTGTGGCTCAGTGGTTGAGCGTCAACTTATTACCCAGGCAGGGCCCATGCCCAGGTTGCAGGCTTGATCCCCAGTAGGGGGAGTGCAGTAGGTAGCCAATCAATGATTCTCTGTCATCATTGATGTTTCTACATCTCTTTCCTTCTCCCTTCCTCTCTGAGATCAATAAAAATATATTTAAAATAAGTAAATAAATATAGCAATGTTTAAAAAATATTTAAAAAAATGAAACGGGAGAGCTTGGCTCACTTTAGAGAGAGATTCCTCCTTTCAGTTATTTTAAAAGGGACAAGGGGATTTTTGCTTCATTACATTCCGCATATTTGGGAGCTGGACTGGTCAGCGTTCCCACTGCACGAACACAGTGTGTGATGCTATCGTTCTCCCACTGGTTCTAATAGGCAACACGAAAGTAAAAACATCAGGTTCTCTTTATTTTACAGGAAAAACGGAAGTTCAGTCATGTAACAGAGGGTAAGAAACAAGTGCAGTTATATCTGTAACAGGACGGAGGGTGAACTCCACAGCAACGAGCTTCCGGCGTGCCTCTGGGCTGGTCCTGGTCATCTGGAACATTTCCCCCGGAATTTCCTTCCTTGTCGATGGGAAGACATCCTCAGGGTCCAACCTGTTTACCAGCCTTTAGGTCCAGGAGCACATATTTTATTCAATTACATACTACTAGTATATGGACCCCAGCCTGTCTTGCTCCAACTTTCTCACTGCATTCCTCCTGACATCAGTCATTCATTATAACCCTCCCCCAGCATTTACTATACCTCCCTCCCCAACGTGTATTTACAATTTTGGAGAATGTGTACATGGCACAGGTTAACTCAGCTGCTAGTGCACAGACATCACATGATCCTCACTGTGCTGGGATATTTTCCTCCAGCTTTGGGGAAATAATTATGTACACTGAGAACCGCAGTAAACAAACAATGCTTGACGCTCATCTGCTAAGACAAATTGTTCTGTACTTCTTAGCACAGTAAGATATGTTTTTAGAAACTGAGAACCAAAGATCATTTAAAACACAAGCGGAAAAATCACACATACCAATCATACAACATATTGACCGATACACTGAAATTCTGTCAAAAATAGATTTTCCTCGAGGCTTTCATTTCAAACAAGTCAGGAAAAAAAAATCCTAAAAAACCCACATGGCTCTTTGTCCTCTTAAGAGTTGCTTTCTCATTTAAAGTTTAAAAATAGTATTTAGAAAAAGAATTATTTATTATGAGGGTTTAGCTGTCTCAGTCAACTTATTGTGAGATTTAACAACAATTGCTTTTAATGTACTAATGTCAAGAAGTTGGGAGGCAGAAATAAATTTTGCAAGTAAATACATGGCACTATGTATCTCCTAGGGTGGGACTTTTGTATTTCCCGTATAGCCTAATAAAAAAACAATTATTCCTGTTCTGGCTGGTGTGGCACTGTCCTGTGCACCAAAAAAGTGGCAGTTGGATTCCTGGTCAGGGCACATATCAAGGTTCTGGGTTCGATCCCTGGACAGGGTGTGTATGGAAAGCAACTGATCAATGTTTCTCTGTCACAATGTTTCTCTCTCTCCCCCCCCCCCCATTCCTCTCTTTAAAAGTCAATAACATTTAAGAAAAAAAAAATTAAAATTAAAAATTGATTCCTTTAAAAACTCATAGATCTAAACATTGATCCTTTTTCTACTTCTCTTTCAAATATTTCCTAACATTTTCACCAAGTTTTTGCTTCATGTTTGGATAGCATTTGCCATGACCTTTGTGTAAGAATTTTCCTTAGCCACCTTTGGAAGGCTGGACAATTCACTCAAACACTCAATGCCAAAGAAAGGCCCGCTAATGCCTCCAATGGGGGCCGGGGTAATCGGGGCAGTAGGAAGTAATAGCAGAGGGGTGGTATTAAGAAATTACTAACATGAGCCCTGGCCGGGTAGCTCAGCTGGCTGGAGCATCATTCTGTACAGAGGAAGGTTGTGGGTTTGATTCCTGGTTAGGGTACATACCTGGGTTGTAGGTTTGGTCCCTGGGGCGCATATGGGAGGCAACCAATTGATGTTTCTCTTGTGCATCAATGTTTCTCTCTCTCTCTCTCTCTCTCTCTCTCTCTCTCTCTCTCTCTCTCTCTCTCTTCTCCTCCCTCCCTCCCTCCCTTTCCCTCCCCCCCCCCTCTCTCCCTCTCTCTCTCTCTTTCTCTCTCCTTCCTCTGTAAAATCAATGAAAAACATATCCTTAGGTGAGGATTTAAAAAGAAGAAAAAAGAAATGTCTTTTTTTGGGGCCATTTGAACATGGAACTATTTTGTTTTTTAACTTCACATATCATTGGTAGAGTTCACTGAGAGCTCAAAAACAAGAGACTGCAAAGTTTTTTGGATAATGTATAACTTTTTACATCAATTTTCCACTGGAAAAACAGTACACTGGAATTCAATTTTTGTTTTATGGTTTTCTGTCCTACACTTTGTTTTATATAAATTATATTTCATTTCTACAAATGAATTAAGCAGGAAGTTACACTAAACCAACTAAGACAGAAATGATAGATTTAAATTCTGACTTGAATGCTGGCCAAAATGATAAGAGAGCTCACACTGGGGACCATCCACAAGCAAGGAGAGAAGTCCTATGTGTCTTCTTCGGAAGAGTATGGACACTTTAATACCAGGACACACCTGTAGTTTAGTGACATGAAGTCCTCTGTCACTGTTACAGAACTTTAATTCATTTCATGTACTTCATTTAGTATAACCAAACCATCCTACATACTTCATACAATTGTGACCTTTCAAAAGAGTCATGAGTTAAGTTCTTAAAAATAAAAGTACTCTAACTGAAAAAGTCATATAAAATTCCCTTTGTGTTACTTCTTGTAAACCATCATTCAATGAATTCTGCAGTGTAATTCTTTTTCTTCTTTGAAAGCAACTTGCAGGTTTAACATTTTTTAATCTTGGGATGGTTTTATTTTCTCCACAAAAACCCAATTAAGGACGTTGTACCAATTTACTCTTACTTCCTTCCTGTTCACTGAGCTTAAAGTGGGTATAGGCGAGGATGCCAAATAATGTACACAACATGCCAAGACACTGATTAACTGACAGCGGGTCCTTAAATAAAACATAGCCTCCAAATAAAGTGATGCAGAACTTGAAGTGTCCAAACATGTTGTAGCTGAGGTTTGGGATAAGGATAAAAAGGAGTAACAAGCTAGGTGCTATATTCTCACACACACACACACACACACACACACACACGTGTGCGAAGCAAGAGCTTCCTTTGCTCAGTTGGTTGGGCGTCTTCCTGCGCACTGAAAGGTCAATGGTTCAATTTCCAGTGAGGACACATGCCCTGGTTGAGGACTCAATGCCTGGTAGGGGTTGTGCAGGAGGCAGTCGATTGGTATTCTGCTCTCACATCAATATTTCTCTCTATCCCTCTCCTTTCCTCTAAGAAAAAAAAACCAAAATGTTTTAAGAAATACCCAGAATCCAATACCTTCTCACTGTACCCACTGCTACCATCTTGGAACCAAACCACTGTTATTTCCAAATTAGAATATTACAATGGCCTTGGCAATTTCCTTTCCTGCCTTGCTTCATGTAGTCCAGTGGTTTGGCTGCAGGATGGAAGCAGTGGATCTAGTGAGGGGTGGATTCTGCCACCTAGACAAGGTCTGATACATGACTGGGGACAGGGAGTGTGACTGGTATCTACAGAGGTCAGGGATGCTGCCAAACATTCTATGATGCCTAGGATAGGCCCCTGCAACAAAGAACTGTCTGGCCAAAAAAGTCAATAGCACTGATTTGGGAAACCCTGCTTTATTCTTGACACAGTGGACCAGAGTAACTCTATCTATCTATCTATCTATCTATCTACCTATCTATAAAGGCCTAATATGCTAAGTGTCCCTCTGACCATTCAACCAGTTGCTCTGATGTGCATTAACCACCAGGGAGCAGATGCTCTGACCAGTAGGTTAGCTTGCTGCTGGGGTCCAGCTGATCGGGATTGGGCGAGACAGGCCGGACATGCCCTGGAGCCCTCTCACTGTCTCTGCCCTGCTGGCCAATCTCTTACAGTCCCTCCCCAGCCTCTAAAGTATTTCTTCTAATTAACTTCCTTTCAATGTGCATGAATCTGTGCACTGGGCCTCTAGCTAGAACGTAAGTAAGATCATGTCATTTCTCTGCTCAAAACTCCAGCGGCTTCCCTTCTCACTCAGAGGAACAGTCCTCTGTAAGAGCTCTGCCCCACCTGACTCCCTGTCACTTCTCAGTCCCTATGCCACACCTCCCTCTGCACTTCCTGCTCCAACCACGAGGGCTCCCTTGTTCCTTAGGGCTCCTCACCTACCCTTCTTTCGTTCCCTCGCCTGGAATGCTATTCATCCTGATCTGCCTGGAGTAACCTCTGTCCCTCAGGTCTTTACTCAAAAGTCCCCTTCTTACAGAGGCCTTCCTGACTTCTCTCCCTAAAATTTCACTCTGTCCACAACATTTCATATCCTCATCCCTGCTTTATTTTTCCTCCCTGGCACTTAACACAAATCTGTATATTTTCTTTTTGTGTTTTGTTGATAGCCTGTTTAAGCCAATGAGAACCAAGTTGTTTTTTTTGTCTATTTCATTATAGCTCCAGTAGATATTCAATATGTAAATATTAAGTCATTGAACAGTTTACAGTGGGTGTTCAATAAATGTCTGTTGAATGCATAAGGGCACACACTGGAAGCCTTGACGTGGCAGCATGGTGCAGGAGTTTGGGGACCAGACTGCATGGTTTGAAATCTAGATGCAACACTTCTCAGCTACTCGACCTCGGGTTATTGACACTCTCTGCACCTCAACTTCCTCCTCTGCAAAATAAAGTTAACAGAATTTACCTCACAGAGCTGCTGTGGGAACTAAATGCCTAACATACCCAAGGTGACTGGAAAAGTACCTGGCACAAAAAAAAACATTTCTTTATTTTTAAAAAAATTATTATTATTGCTGTTATTTATTGATAGTTGGCAAGTAGGATGCTTTTTTACTTTGATGACATCAGTATACAATGACATGACATTACTAAACTACCTCTCTGATATAAAAAAAATCCATTCTTTGCATTTGCCTAAGAGTGGAATAAAGTGAAATGAGAAAAGAAACAGAATGACAAGCAGAATATTAAGAGTTTGATTCAGACCTGCAGGGTATGACTTCATTTCTTAAATACTGAGAAAAACAGGCACACCCATATCCATATAAGGTTAAAAACATATGATGGAATTCAGAGGTCACATGCCAATTTCAGAAGCCTGGTTATATTTTGTTATATGTATAACCCCACCTCTGCTTTATTACTATAGATAACTGAGAATTGACTGACCACCCAAGCATCCATCCCATATTCAACTACAAATATTTATTTAACCCCTCTGTGCAAGAAATGGTTTTTCTATGTTAATTTTTACAAGGGAAATAGTCATCTATGACTTGAGAAAATGAAAAAATGTTCATGATACAGAAAGCTAATCCATTTTCCCAGATTTCATTTCTTTAAATTTCTATAGACTTTAGTGTGGAATGAGATAATTAAAGATTAAAATAACTCACTCTACTCAATTCAGGCCATGCAGTAAAGGAAGTTAATGTGATGGTGTATTAGAAAATATAAAGGACTATGCATTTGTAAGTCATTAGGAAAAGGATACGTGACTGGTGAAGTGTTCCCAATGATCCAATAAATTGATAAGTTCACCATGAAAGCTATTACTCCAGATAGAAGCACCATAAGCTACAAATAAAACAAAAGAATCATTAATGCAGCTTCAATCATTATAATCTTCAAGGGAAAATACCTTTCATTAGGCATTTCTAAAAACTCAAATATAACCATTATAAACAAAATTTTTAAAAAGAATCAATTTATACCCTGGCTGATGTGGCTCAGTTGGTTGGGCATTGTCCCTTCACCAGGAAATTGCTGGTTTGATTCCTGGTCAAGGGCACATGCTTAGATTTGGGGCTTGATCCCCAGTAGGGGGTGTGTAAGAGGCAGCTGATCGGTGATGTTGTGCTCTCACATTGATGTTTCTCTCTATCTCCCTCTCCCTTCCTCTCTCTAAAAATCAATAAACTATTCTTTAAAAAAAAAAAAATTAATTTGAAAGACAACAAGAATTAAAGGTAAAAGAATAAAATGAATAATGTTCAGAAATGTAATTTTGTCTAAAAAACTCAGAGGAAAATTCTCCAATAATATCCTGCCTCTGAATGTGAATATCCAGGTTCATTTTCTTATCCATCTGAAGAAAAATTACTTTTAAAAAAATGTATTATTATAAAAAAATCAGAAAATAAACATAAAATAATTCTTATAACCCCAACCATCAACCACTATTAATACTTTAGCATACATCCTTCCAGATCTCTCTTCTATTGAATTGATCATATTTGTTCTTATTTACAATAAATCAATATGTATTCATTGGATATCTACAAAACAAGGCTATGCCTTGTGAGGAACACAGTATTTTCTTATTCTCAAAGAGCTTAGAAAACACTTAAGGACACAAAGTCATGGTAATCATAGCTTACACTTACATAGACATTATTACGTGCCAAGAATCGTTCTAAATGTTTGACATATATTAATTCACTTAATCCTCACAAACCATATGAGGTAGTAACATATTATCCCTTTTTATAGATGAGAAAACAGAACACAGTGAAATGAAGTGATCTGCCTGAGATCACAGAGCCAAGAAGTGGCAGGGCTGAGATTAAAACCTGGCGATCTGGTAATGGAAATCCTGCTCTTAGCACACTCTGCTATGCTGCCTCTTAGCCACATGACAGTGAGAGTGCAATGCAAGATTTCTGGCTCAGGCAGTAAAAGAACATGACCTACCTCATTTATAGGCAAACAGATAATATATGATCTATATGAATCTCTAGGCAAGACATACTGTTTGGATCTGGAATAATGAGAAAAGTCTTTGGATTTCAAATGTCCATTAAAGAAAAAAGAGGGGGCAGGGTTTCAAGCAGAGAGAACAGTATGGGCCAAAGCATGGAGGCAAGAAAACAAAAGGTACAGACATGGGACAGTGAATAAGATGAACTTGGCTGAGGACTGGGGAACAAAGTGAGCTGAACCACTGTGTACATATACAACATTCTGTTCAAACCTACCTCACAATTTTACTTTAAAAGTTATAAAGTTATTTGCTATTTCTAAAATAAGAGAGTTTAGATGAAATATCAGTTATGATTTAATTAGTAAGAAGTTTACATTCCAAAGAGATGAATAAGTCATATTTGAAGATTCTTTTGTCCCACGTGGGTTTTTTCAGTTTCAGATCAGCACAGTCATAAGAGGCCTAATGGAGTTGGATTTGTGTCTTATTTAGGTAAAGACAGTAAGCCATCATTTGTTTTACAAAAGTGAGGCCCATTACATTTTCTTTCTTTATTTTATCTTATTTTTTAAAATAAATTGATTGGGATGACACTGGTCATAAATTTTTAATTAAGAGAAACTTGCTCCTTAAATATCTAAAAATATATATATTTTATTGACTTTTACAGAGAGAAAGGGAGAGGAATAGAGAGTTAAAAACATTGATGACAAACATCAATCAGCTGCCTCCTATACGCCCCCTACTGGGGATCGAGCCAGCAAACTAAGGTACATGTCCTTGACCAGAATAGAACCCTGGACCTTTCAGTCTAAGGGCCGACATTCTATACTCTGAGCCAAACTGGTTAGGGCATCTCCTTGAAGATTTTAAAAACTGCTACTAGAAATATATCATTGTTAATTTTATTGAGTTCACAGAATATTACATACCTATTTTTGATGACTTAGCATTAAAAATACAATTACAAGCTCTACTTTGAGGCAACGATGCCCTCTAGGGACATTAAAGAAGGAAGGTGACTTTAATTTAAATGGCCTTGGGCCTGCTGTGCACTAAGTTTCTTTGCCTTGCCCTTATGGCCTTTCTGCTGGGATAATGCCCTCTTCTTTCAAATCCGTCAGAGGACCTATGGCAAAAACCTCTCCCTTTCTAATGTAAGATGTCTAAGCTGCAATGGTTTGAAGACCAGATCATTATTTATCACTTTTGTAAAATTATTTATCACTTTTGTAAAATGACAGAGGGGACGGCCATTTCTACTTTGGAAAAAAGAGTTTATGTCGGTGGGGCTTACTCGGGGTGGGAATGGCTGGGGAGGGGGGAGTCAAGCGGGGGAAAAAGGAGACATGCAAAATTTTAGATAATAAAAAAAAGGGGGGGGGTTATGTCAAAGCACATGAATTTAAGACAACTATCAATCTGCTTACAGGCAGCACAGTGGATTGGTTAAGAATATGGACTTTGGAGCCAGGAAACATCAAATCAAATTCTAGCTCTGCTTTCTAGCGTAGGATCTCAAGTCAGTTACTTAACTCTGTCTGTTTCCTCATCAGTCAATATAGGGAGAAAATAGCATGGATCCGCACAATAACATTGTTGTAAGTAAGTTAATATTTGCAAAATGCTTAGAAAAGAGCCTAAAATAGACTAAGGGTTAAGTAAGTTTGATAAGTTAACACTACTAACAAAAAAACATTCCTATTGACTGTGTTCCAAAGGTTACATGGGAAGCAGACATTCCTTCCCTAAGTGGGGATTATACTTTCTAACTTAAAATGTCACCAAAGTAGCTGAAACCGGTTTGGCTCAGTGGTAGAGCGTCGGTCTGCAGACTGAAAGGTCCCAGGTTCGATTCCGGTCAAGGGCATGTACATTGGTTGCGGGCACATCCCCGGTAGGGGGTGTGAAAGAGGCAGCTGGTTGATGTTTCTCTCTTACCGACGTTTCTAGCTCTCTAGCTCTCTCCCTTCCTCTCTGTAAAAATTCAATAATATATATACATATTTTAAAAATGTCACCAAAGTACATATCCCTTTGATCTACAATTCTACCCTTAGGATTCTAATTTAATTAAAAGAGGTACCAGTTCACCCTAGCCAGTTTGGCTCAGTGGCTAGAGCATCGGCCTATGGACTGAAGGGTCGCTGGTTCTGATTCTGGTCAAGGGCACATGCCTGGGTTGCAGGCTTGATCCCCAGTAGGGGGCGTGCAGGAGGCAGCCAATCAATGATTCCCAATTATCATTGATGTTTTTGTCTCTCTCTCTTCCCCTTCCTCTCTGAAATTAATAAAATATATATACATTTTTTAAAAAGAGTTGCTTTAAAAAAAGATATTTCCATGAGATATTACGTGAGAAAAGTTATATACAGAAAAATCATGTGATATAATGCCATTTCTGTAACAAAACAAATGTTTATTTCATATAAATACATGTGTGCTTTGTGTATGTTGATATATGGGTGTGTATACCAAGGAGAAAAATATGAAAAAACAAATACTAAATGTTGACATGACTTACTTCAAGGAACAGGAATGGGATAATGAGATGCGGAAGTGTGCATGGGTAAGAGTACTAAGGAAAAGGAATCTATGATTTTTTTAAAAAAGCATATATAGTAAGGATCCATGCATATAAAATTATACATCCACACATACGAACACACATACGTGTGTGCTTATGTATCTGAAAAATAGATACATGAAATAATCACGAAAATAATAAATGTGATTATCTTGGTTCTAGAGGACCTTTACTTTCTTTATATTTTTATGTATGTTCAAAACCTAAACAATGACCATGTACTATTTTATATTATCAAAACAAAGTTAAGCAGCAAGTGAAAGTTAACTATAAGGGAGCTCCCATAAGAGTGTCAGCTGATTTCTCAACAGAAACATTTCAGGCCAGAAGGGAATGGCATGAAATATTCAAAGTGATGAAAAGCAAGGATCTACAACCAAGTCTACTCCAACCAAGGATATTGTTTAAAATTGAAGGAGAAATAAAGAGCTTTCCAAATAAGAAAAAGTTAAAGGAGTTCATTATCACTAAACCAACATTATAAGAAATGTTAATGGACTTCTTCAAGAAGAAAGAAGATAACAAAAACAAAATCAGTAAGCCTATATTTTCACTGTAAAAAACTAAAATAAAAATAGATGCCTGAATTATTTGTGGGCTATGGCTTTGAGTGGTCAGAACGGTAATCAGGAATCAGCAGACCTGAATTTTAGGCCTGGTTTTGTCACTATCTGTCTGACCCTAAGCAAATCCCTTAACCTTCATGCCTCAGCTTCTTCATCTAAAAAATAATCCTTAGTTTGCTTCCCTGAGAGGATAATGAATATTAAATGTGAGAATGGATCTGAAATAGTGCTCTGAACACTAAAATTGCGTTAATAATAGAGGGATTGCTATCATCTTGTTTCTTTGACACAAAAAGCCATTAGAACTCACCAGAGCAGAGACTGACCAGGGGCTGAAGAGCCCCCCTTCTCCAAACAGGGGCTCAAAGAAGGGCACCGCGACCAGCAGCATGCCCGATGACATGGGAGCCTGGTAGTACAGCAGCTGCATCGAGTTAACTTGCAATTCATGCTGTTTGGCTCCAACCCACTGAAAATTAGGAGATAAAACCAGTTAGGCAGAAAAAAAATAGCATTACTCACTGTAAAGCAGAGATGCAACTCTAGCCACAAAGATGGGAATGTGGGGCACAGGGGAAGGGGAAACACCTGATTATTCTACAAGATTTTAAAGGTCAATAACATATACAAATGTTCTTAAAGCACCTTGGATGGGAGGAACTTTATTAATTCAGTGTCTGATCATGTATTTTTTTCCTGGAGAAAGCAAGTCCCTTACTTTCTTGTTTATTAACACTAGTGGACTCCGGGAATTATTTCTTCTTTTTCTCATTTTAGTTTTTCTTTGCTTTCTTTCTTTTGATCATCTATTTTCTTCTGAATTATAATAAAGAAGAAGATCCTCTCTCCCCTTCTTATTCTAGTAAAAGGGGAAGTCCATGCATTCATGAGCTCACAAGCATAATAGATCTCAGGAAAATATGGCAGGAATGGAAATTTTAGTCATTAGTAGGAATACAGAAGCAGTGTCTGACTTCATTTCTTTCTAAAAACAAAACAAAACAAAACAAAAAAACTGGGCGACAGGGAAAACTAATTAGAGACAGACAGGAACCTCAGTTACCCCATGTGGCTGCCAATGTAATGTGACTAGAAAGGTGTGTGAGGTCTTTCAATTTACGTTAAAAAGCCTAGTCAATGGTAAAAGGAATCTTTCTCTTTATGGATGACTTTTCTGTGGGTAATCTCCCAATAATACATGCAAGAAATGAGATGATCACAAACCCTAAACAACTATATCATTCAGCAGAACCAACCCTTCAAAGCCAAATCCCATCAGTCCTCTAAATGCTTTGCAATTATAACTGTTTAAAGAAAGCTTGATAGGACCATTTGAATAAGATTTGGTAAAAACAGCCGAAACCAGTTAGGCTCAGTGGATAGAGAGTCAGCCTGTGGACTGAAGGGTCCCGGATTCGATTCTGGTCAAGGGCATGTACCTTGGTTATGGGCACATCCCCAGTAGGGGGTGTGCAAGAGGCAGCTGATGGATGATTCTCTCTCATCGATGTTTCTAACTCTCTATTCCTCTCTCTCTCTGTAAAAAAAAAAAAAAATCAATTTTACACACACACACACACACACACACACATATATATATATATACATACATACATATATATGTATAAGTATATATATATATGTATATGTGTGTGTGTGTATATATATATATATATATATATATATATATATATATAAAAGATTTGGCAAAAACAGCCAGGCCTTTGAAAACCATTCCTACATAATTCTTTTTCCTGTTGGTCTGGGTATCCTATTACATATACTCTAAGTCTATAGAAATTCACCAACACAAAAATAAAAGAGCAGGAAATCCGACACATACTCCTGCCAGCCTTGACTAACAGTCTTCTGTGACGATGAAGGACAAAGAATTGATTCTGCTGCTGCTGGCTCCTTGAGGCACCGCAGTGGGCAAAAAACGAATGCAGAGTGTACGCTATCGCGCTGGCAGCCTCGCCAGGCAGCTGGGCATCTCTGGCACAGAACCGCCTGGTGAGTCAGGGCCTCTACTTCCTGTTCTTGAAACTGCTCCCTCAAAGGGCACCATCACTCCAACAGCTACATCAAAAGGGCTCCCTTCTAGTCTCCTCCTGCTGGAGCTCTCTGCAGACCCTGAAAAGTTCTCTTGGAAGAACCTGACCTCTGGTTCGCACTGCTTCCTTCCTCACCTCTTCCTTCACTTACTGTTTTTAAGGTTGGTGTCTGGCCTTCCTCTTTGAACTCCCTAACTGATTTCTAATACTATCTGCTAACATCTATAGCTCTGACCTCTTTCCTAGAGCTTCCTTCACTCACATCTTCAACGGTTTATGAGTCATCTTCACCCGCAAGCATGTCAAACTCATGGCTGGTGGGCCACATGCCTCGTTCATTTAAAGAGGAAAATTCCTTTTACCATTGCCTGGGCTTTTTAAAGTGAACTGAAAGGCCTCACACACCTTTCTAGACACATTTATTTAAAAGAGGCATGCAGCCGAAACCGGTTTGGCTCAGTGAATGGCGCGTCAGCCTGCAGACTGAAAGGTCCCAGGTTCGATTCCGGTCAAGGGCATGTACCTTGGTTGTGGGCACATCCCCAGTAGGGGGTGTGCAAGAGCAGCTGATTGATGATTCTCTCTCATCGATGTTTCTAACTCTCTATCCTTCTCTCTTCCTCTCTGCAAAAAATCCATAAAATATATATATATTTTTAAAAAGAGGCATGTGGCCCACCTGTCGCGAGTTTGACATGCTTGAGTCAGGACTTGTTTAAAATCAAGCTCATTTCTTCCTTCCCTAAATCAATTCCTCTTGTGTTGGTCCAATAATTGATATAATCTCCTCCAACAATCAGCCTCCTTGCTTTCCTTACTCTTCAGATTCAATCAGGTCCCACTAATTCTTTCTTTAAAAGGTTTCTGGAGTGTTTTTCCTGATCTATTATTCTACTACCACTATGCTCGTTCAGCACCCTCCTGTCTTCGCCTTGAACCACAGAGAGCTATGAACTGTCACCCTTCCTTCCCTCTCTTTTCATTCTTCATTACCACGAGTTATTTTTCTAAAATACAGAGAATGATCAAGTGACTCTCCTCTCCACACTCCGCTCCTAGTGCCTGCAGGGTGAAGAGCACACGTCCTTCTCAGGACAGCTAAGACTCTGCCTCTGGTCCCACCCACCCCTCAGCCTCGTCCTTCCTCAATGCAGCGTGTATGCTGTCCCACTGGCATACAGTCTCACCAAACAAATCAAGTTCTCCAAGAATGCCCCCATCATAGCAAAGAAAGACCTCTGCTATACTTATCTGCTAAGCAAACTGTTCACTTTTCCATGAAGACTTAACTCACCACCTTCTGGGTAGAACTGCCACTTCCTCCCTGGTGAGCCTCAGAACTTTCCTCAGACCCTGAGCTATCCTACACGTGTTTCGACCATACTGAATTGTAGCTGCTTTTCATCTTTGTACCCTCAAGGAGAAGCATAAAGCAGAAGAAATGTCTACTGAAGGAATGAATGAACGACAGTCTTTCTACAACCGTCTTTCTATAAAGCTCATCACTCATCTTTTAACTCCTTTTAATGCTCCAGCAGAAATAACTGAGAAATAACACCTGGTTACAATTTTCTTTAAAATGAATTTCTGGGAAACACACCTATTTTGTAACAGTACTTTTACCACCTACCAATAATGGAGAACTCTGCCCATTTGTTAGTCTACAATCATTCCTTGGTCAAGCTCATTTCAAATATCTACCTAAGGGATATAGAACCCTTTGATTTTAATCTATAACATGTTGGGACTTGTGTGAACAAAAATGTTCGTATTGGCATGAACAGTCAGTGCTCCGAATTTAAATGATATATAATGAATATAAAAAAGCATAATGTCCAACAAATAAAAGTTCTTGCCATAACTAATAAATATCGATATTTAATCCGCACTGGGCTAAAAAAAAAAAGTTCATTTAGCAGAAAAGAATGCTCATTTATTTTATCTAAAACAAAATTTAAACTCTCTGAAGTACACCCAGTATGATTTTCTTAAAGCACAAAGCTGAGCTTCCTCTGGTTACTCTCTGCAGGAAAAGACAATTTCTGGGAGCCAAGTGACAAGACTGAGTGAGTGCTCATCCTTTCATGCCTGTGGTGTATTTTTTTTTTATTTTTTTATATAGTATTGCCTTTAAAAAAAAAAAAAAAATATATATATATATATATATATATATATATATATATATATATATATAATATTATTGATTTTTTACAGAGAGGAAGAGAGAGGGATAGAGAGTTAGAAACATTGATGAGAGAGAATCATTGATCAGCTGCCTCTTGCACACCCCCTACTGGGTATGTGCCCACAACCAAGGTACATGCCTTTGACCGGAATAGAACCCAGGACCTTTCAGTCCGCAGGCCGACGCTCTATCCACTGAGCCAAACCGGTTTCAGCTGGTGTCTTTTTTATCACTAAAATATGTATTCAACCCCAGAATGTTTACATAACAATGTTTCTGAGTGATCAGTATTATAAAGTTTAAGATGCTAAGGCTGTCTCATTAAACTCCTAACACTCAGTAAGAATGCCTTAGTTTATAACTAGTGGATACTTGCAAGAAAAGTAAAATTGGTTACGCATTTTTTACTCTAATTTCCCCATGCAGGCACACCCAGAATTTTCAGTCCAAGGTTTTCAGTATAGAGAAAATACTGTTACACTGTATCCTACACCAAGTTACTTCCCCGCCCAATATGAAAAACAAAAAATATGCTTGTTCAGATTTTATGGTAATGAAGTAAGTGGATCCCTGAACAAATTTTTAATGAATGCCTTGCTATATAGGCAAGACACTGTGCCAGTACAAGAAGCGAAATACCCATTGCTATAAAACATTATATAGATAAATTATTCGAAGCCAATATACAAGTTGTAACCGTAGCATATTTTTTGGGCAAAGATTTATAAATCTGTAATTTTCCTTTTCCATTCAAATTTTTGAAAGTGTACTCACTCCTTTCATAATGTTATAATTAAAGAGTAAATGATACATGTAACCAATGAACTCAGTCCTCAAGCAAAAAGTCTTATTACTCGTTTTGTGGAGACTTCCCAGAAAATAATGTAACACCACCCCAAACTCAAACTGTTAAGCATGGGTATCATACACTTACAAACAGGTGGGTAGGTATTTGGTGAGCATCACACACCCAAGTTTCTCTGTCTCCTTTCTTCTCTTCACCTTGAGTCAGACAATTTATGCAATGATGCTTTCTTCCTAACAGTCTATTGTCTCTATACTGTATTTTATAAACCTTGGGATACAGCTTCAATTATGAAATCTGCTAAAAAGGCACATAAAGAAAAAGAAAATTACCAACCACTTGATAAAGGGATGTAACTAAAACACCAAGAGCAGCAAACACCATTCCAAGGAAATTAAACTTCACATCGTAATAAGAATTTAGGATTACACCTAAAGTTATAGGAATCTGTAAAGAAAAAGAGGTAAATGTTGTTCAGATTAAGTTCAAGAGTATTTCTTTCATGGTGTCTTACAAAGTTAACTTTTTTTAAAAACATCACTAGGAAACAATGAACCTCTATACATTTTTCTTTCCTATTTGAAAACATTGTTAATCCTGTTTCCTCAAAGTTAAATATGATAGTTCTCATTGTGTTACATTTAAGTCTATTTAAAGATTTGGGTAATGAGTTCATGCATTGCACTTTGTAAGAAATGGAAACCAAATGCAGGAACATAGGTGGAAAAGAACCCCGAAATTGGTGTCTAAACAACATATAAACATAAACATATAACAACAGCATTTGAATCTTAAATATTGTAAATTATTAAGTGTTAAAATTATTTTAGTCTATTTCCCTATATGTATAGATGCAGAAATCAGTGCAGAATGTGGCTGCTGACATAGTCTGAGACATATTTTATCTTAAACCTTTAACGTTTATCGTACATGGTTTGGTTCCCCTGGGGGAGATGGGTAGTTTCTGGTTTGAGATTTTGCAAATATCTGATTCACTGACTTGCATTACCCAATACAGCTTTCTTTTCTTACCGATCGCAGCATTTAAGGATATCAACAAACAGTAGTTATTAAAATGCACAAGCACACTTCTAAGCTAAGAGCCCCATGGAGTGTCAGGATGGCTTTTTTCCCCATCTCCCCCAAATCAGCCTTCAACTGACATGCTCACACCTGTGTGGATTTCAAGATGATGGAAAAAAGCGTGGCCTGAGTTTAACATTCAAAATTCCCGGGGGAAAGGACAGTCCAGGAGGTGGGATGTTGGAGGAGCGCCTTGCGACGCTGAAGCTACTCACCAGCGTGAGCTGTATTTTGGTGGAAAAGGTTTTCTTGTAGCAGAGCGTCTGGATCACTATGATCACCGGCGTGGTCATGGCCTTGGCCAGCTGGTAGGTGCCTATGGTGTTGTTCTGCAGAGAAAGGTTGGTGAAGACCACGAAGCCACAGAAGCTGAGGGCCAGGAGGAGGAGCTTGGAGGGCGGCAGGCTCTTGGGGGCAAAGATGTTCAGCTTCTGGCAGAGGTACAAGCCCAGCCAGGTGACCACAAAGTGCACCAGGGTCAGGCTCATGTTGGGGAAGCCGTGGTGCACGTAGATCCATTTGTTGAGGAACACGATGCAGATGGACACCAGCAGGTTGAGCAGGAGCCCGGCGGCAATGCGCCCGTTGCCCCTCACTCTCTCCGCCAGCGATGCCATGACTCCCGCGAAGCCGGGGCCCTTCGGTCCCCGAGAGGGACGCCCGGCCTGCCTCCGGCTGCCCTGGCCCTCCTCCTCCGCGGCCGTGGTCCCGCAGCCGCCGGCTTCAGCTTCTGGCCGCCTAGAGGGTCCCCGGCGAGCCACAGCAGAGTACACATGCTCCGCCGCCGCCCATGGAGCCCGCGGCGACGCGACAGCACGTCCCGCGCCCCGCCCCCTGCCACGTGACTCGGGGCGCCGGCGATTCCGCCCCCAGCTGGGAGCCGAGCAGCCGCTACCCTGCGCAGCCGCATTGGGCTCTGGGTGCGCGGAGCTGCTTTCTTCGTTCTCTGTTCCTTCTTAGTCGCCTAATCTGGACCCATCTGAGTTTCTTAGGATGTTCGGTATTTTCTGTGTGTCAGTTGACTCCACTTGCCAGACTGCTGCTCTCAAGCTGATGGAATGGGCTATGCACACGGTTGGTCAGCTTTATGTTTGAGACAGATGCTGAGCAATTTTAGTCCTCCAAATATACAGATTAGTCAGTGTGATGAAACTTCATATATTCATCACGGTTCGCAAACAAGGCAGATTTTCTTTTTGTTTGCCCTTTTATTATTCTAGAAAAGTGTCCATTTTACTTAAGTGTTTTAATATACTTGGTTAAAGTAGTAGATAATATTCTATCATATTTTGAATTTATTTAATCTGTTGTTATATCACTTTACTTTTTCTAAACATTATGCATTTGGGATTTCTCTATTCCTTGATTAGCCTTGTCAGTGATCTGTCTATTTATGGGTCTTTTCAAAAATTACTTCTACTGATTTTGTTTCTACACACTACAAATTCCAACTTTCCTCCCCTAATCTCTTGAATATGAATGTTCGTTTGTAAAGGATTCAAAGCTGTGCGTTTCCCCCTAAAGAATAGCTTTGCCCGCAGTCCTCCAGATAATGTAATATTCTCACTGTCCTTATTTCCTAAGTCTGAATTTTAATTTAAGAATTATTCAGATATTGAGCACCTGCTTTGTACCTAGCACTGTATTTGGCACTTGGAGATAATGGAGAGTAAAACCAATCCAGACCCTTTCTTACAGAACTTAGGGAGAGAAACCTGGTACCAACAATTATAAACCATAATAAATGAAAGTGTGAACAAAATATGGTCCTATGAATGTATAAGAGAATTTGATCTAAACTTGGGGAGGCAAAGGTGGTCAAAGTCTTCCCCCAAGAAATGACTCAAACTAACATTTGAGAATGAGTGTAGTTAATTAGACAAAGTCTAAAGTATAGCTTTCTTAACATTTTTCTGATATGCTTTTTTCCCTATCAAATCACCAAACTCTGTCATCATACTTTTATGTGCTTTTCCATTGTATATTTATATTGCCATCCTCCCTTCCAGTTTGGACCTACAGACCACTACCTGATCAAGGATTTATCATGTTTACCCTCACCTGCTTTCCAATTAAAAGCCTAGGCTTTAATTAGCTTATCTTGGTTGTCTCCTAGTGATTATAGATTTGGACTGATAATCTTAGCATGGATGGTAAGTTATATTTTTTTTTATCATTCTTCTGTTTCTCTTATACTGTATTTTAAAAATAGTTTATGAACTCATAGTTTAACATATCCAGTTAACCCAATTTGACACATTCAATGAGTTCCATGCCCTTTTCACTCCCCAAATAAATGCTAGTTTATAAGAACCAGAGTGTTGTTTCCCAGGGAAATCATGTGTCATCAGGCTAAAAATAATAACAGTAAATTTTAAAGTCCACTTATTTGTTCTGTCCTTAGTGAAATTTTATTATATGTTTCTAAGTTAACTATTAACAATATAAATAACTCAACATCATTAAATAAAGTTAAAAATATCTTGCAGATTCCAGCTGCCTATCAAGGCCTCCCTTAGTCTGATGCCACCTTTGACCTCCATCCAGTTTCCCACTATTTCAGACTTGTTCTCCAGGCTGGTTTAGTTGGTTAAGTGGCTTTCTTTATTCCCTTCAGCAAAGCACAGACTCCTAACTCTTATCAACCTGAAATGTGATTGTTTTACTCTCATTGTTACATGTTGAAAATAGAGGTTCATGGATGTTTCCTTGCAGCTAAAATGGGATGAGGATAAGGTTCAAACCCAAATTTCTCTGGCTCCCTAACCCATTTTCTTCCTTTTTGTTATGGAAAAACTTGTGCGAAGTTAAAACAGTATGGTAAGCTCCCCTACCGGCCTGATTGCCCCTAACTGCTCCTTTGCTGACCTGATCGCCGCTAACCTGCCTCTGCCTCACCCTGCACCCGGAACCCAGGACTCCCTTCTCTGGCTGGCCATAGGCACCCAGGACCCAGGACTCCCTTCTCTGGCTGGCCATAGGCACCCGGAACCCAGGACTCCCTTCTCTGGCTGGCCATAGGCACCCGGGACCCAGGACTCCCTTCTCTGGCTGGCCATAGGCACCCAGGACCCAGGACTCCCTTCTCTGGCTGGCCATAGGCACCCAGGACCCAGGATTCCCTTCTCTGGCTGGCCATAGGCACCCAGGACCCAGGACTCCCTTCTCTGGCTGGCCATAGGCACCCAGGACCAGGACTCCCTTCTCTGGCTGGCCATAGGCACCCAGGACCCAGGACTCCCTTCTCTGGCTGGCCATAGGCACCCAGGACCCAGGACTCCCTTCTCTGGCTGGCCATAGGCACCCAGGACCCAGGACTCCCTTCTCTGGCTGGCCATAGGCACCCGGAACCCAGGACTCCCTTCTCTGGCTGGCCATAGGCACCCAGGACCCAGGACTCCCTTCTCTGGCTGGCCATAGGCACCCAGGACCCAGGACTCCCTTCTCTGGCTGGCCATAGGCACCCAGGACCCAGGACTCCCTTCTCTGGCTGGCCATAGGCCCCCAGGACCCAGGACTCCCTTCTCTGGCTGGCCATAGGCACCCAGGACCCAGGACTCCCTTCTCTGGCTGGCCATAGGCACCCAGGACCCAGGACTCCCTTCTCTGGCTGGCCATAGGCCACCCAGGACCCAGGACTCCCTTCTCTGGCTGGCCATATGGCACCCAGACCCAGGACTCCCTTCTCTGGCTGGCCATAGGCACCCGGGACATTCCCTTCTCTGGCTGGCCATAGGCACCCAGGACCCAGGACTCCCTTCTCTGGCTGGCCATAGGCACCCAGGACCCAGGACTCCCTTCTCTGGCTGGCCATAGGCACCCAGGACCCAGGCCAGTTTCACTAGGGCTGGCCACAGCCACAGGGGACCATCTGTGGATGGCTTCACCTGGGCTGCAGCCACAGGTGCTGACGCCCAGGACCCTGGGATGGGTGGCTTGTCCCTCTCCTTGGCCGCAGCCTGGCTGGCCCCCATTCCTCTCCCCAGTGTTGAGTGTATGAGTCATTATGGCATGAGGGCGTGACAACTACACGCATATTAGCTCGCAATTATATAGGATACCACAATTTGTTTAGTCATTCTCCTAGGGACAGTTATGGTATAAAGTGGGGGTCAAGTTTATTTTCCATATAGATATTCTATTGTTCTGTCACAATTTCTCAAACTCCACCCAAATTTTTCATTTAGAAAAATTTTAAATCTATAGGAAAGTTAAGACTAGTATAATAAACATTCTTGTGCCCTTTCTGTAGATTCACTAGTAAGCATTTGGCTGTATTTGTTTTATCTTTGTAAACTTATATATTACAGCCTAAACCATTTAGAATTAAAGTGCAGACTTCATGACCTTTCATTGATAAATATTGCAGCATGTATCTCTCCTACTTAGCTACAATACCATTATTATACCTAAGAAAATTAATATTAATTGAATCCTAACTAATATGCACTCTATTTTCTTGCTGGACTATTGATGGGAATTATGTTAAATCTGAATGTCAACTTGAGAAGGGATATCTTTACTATGTTGTCTTCTAGTTAATGAACATGGCATGTCCCTCCATTTATTTTACACTTCTTTGGTTTCGTTCATCAGTATTTTGTAGTTTTCAACATACAAATCCTATACATGTTTTGTTCGATTTATTCTTATCATTTCATATGGCTCTACCTCATTTTAAAATGGATAAGTATAAAAATTAAAGAGGTTTGGATAAGTAAATATTTCATCTTTGAATCACTTTAGCTAGAAAATGAGGCAGAGGCCATGCCTCTATTATAATCAACAGTATACTGCTGTCTGCTTTAGGCTCAGGAGGACCAATACCCATTTCTGATGTAAGCCAGTGTGACGCAAACTTAACTGTTTAGAAATCACCCATTGCTTATTACAAAATACAAATTCTATGACGCCATTCCAGGCCTCCCACGCAGGGCCCCCATCTCTAGAGGTGGCATCAACAAATACATATTTAACAATTCCAATTATTATATAATAGCCAGTTTGGGGAGTTATTGGCCTGGATCATGTTTCCTATTAGATTCCTATTGTCTCTTCCCATTTATAAATCCTACACTATAGTCAAGGTGGCATATTTGCTGATTCATAAACATACAGTACTATCTTGTGGCCTTGCTCACCCTTCTTGTGCTTTATCTTTGCTTTTGCAAATTGAGTGCATTACTCAAATCCCAGCCCAAATGCAACTTCCTCAGAGACCTTTTAGCTGGAAATAGTTTCTTCCTGCTCAGACTGACGGCATTTACAATATATATTGACTAAAGTCCGATGCATGAAGATTTGTGCTAGAATGGGCTTTCTATTCCCTGGCTGCCAGCACCCTTTCCGCTCCGGCCCAGCCCCTTTCTGCTCCAGCCTGGAACTTCCTCTTTCTGCTCTGGGGGACCCGTCTTCCCACTCTGCCCAGAGGCCCTGAGAGATCAGGGTGGGCAGTTCGCCCACCTGCCCCATTATTTGGCACCTGTGTATGCAAATTAACTGCCATCTTTGTTGGGTTAATTTGTATATCACTCCTGATTGGCTGTGGGCATAGCAGAGGTACAATTTACATGTTTGGCTATTATTATTTTTTTAAATATATTTTATTGATTTTTTACAGAGAGGAAGAGAGAGGGATAGAGAGTTAGAAACATCGATGAGAGAGAATAATCGACCAACTGCCTCTTGCACACACCCTACTGGGGATATGCCCGCAACCAAGGTACATGCCCTTGACCGGAATCAAACCTGGGACCTTCCAGTCCACAGGCTGACGCTCTATCCACTGAGCCAAACCAGTTTCGGCAACATGTTTGTCTATTATTAGGTAAGAT